TGCGTGGGTCATCTGGTGCTGGATGAGGGTCTCCCCGCAGGCGAAGGGTTTCCCTCAGGATACCCGCGGAGGGCAAGGCTTGAGCTCTGCGTGTCCGGGCAGGCTCACGGGTGTCAGGCGAACAGCAAAATGCCCACCAAGGAGAAGAGTTTCCAGAGGACCCCAAGGCAGAGCTGTGGAGATCTGTACTTGGCTCAGTGCCCTTCCAAGAGATGAGTGACCCGGGTCCCGAGAGTGGAGATGCACCCTTTGGTGTCTGGAAAGGAGTGAGCTTGTGCTGAACTTAGGCTCAAGCTTAAATCCCTAGCAATCTCACTCAGTCCTTAGTAATCCAACTTTACCAGATGACTGCCTGGGCAGCAGCTGGAGATACAAAGAACCAGGGCAGAGAAACACCACAGGTACCCCTGAAACCCTCTTCTGGGGGACAGCAACTGAGTCAGAGAGACACCGCTGCTGAGGGCCGCGTCACCTCTCCCAGGCGCTTCGTGTTTCATTAAACAAGCAGCTTATATGCAATGCCTCTGAAAGAGATTTTTATGCTGGAACGATCTGAAGCAAACACGTACATTTGAAATGCACTTCCAGAACAGCTCCGGTTCCCTTAACTGCTTGAAGGACTGCTCTCGTATTTATCCCTTCGATACGTCAATGCTGTGAGCGTAGTACCCGGGCTCCGTGGGCCCAGTACCAGGGGCAGGCACAGCAGTCACCGCTCCGCGCTTCCCAGCACTCCTGTATTTTGTAGTTAATCCGGCCCCGCTCCACGGGTCTTGGCCACGGCAGGGACCGCGGGGATGGATCGCACCCACTCAAGAAATGCCACAAAAACAGGGTGACTCCTGGAGAAGCGGACACACACAGAACTGTACCCGTACAACAGCTCTTTTCTCACACACAAGGTTATTATGTAAACATCTGCAGCACAGCTTTTCAGAATAAACCTATTGAGGCTATTTTTTTCAGGCAGGAAATGTCACAGTACACAAACCAACGTGGTGGTAGCTGCAAAGGGGTATCCATAATCATTCTCACAGCTCATTTGATTGTCACAGAGAATTTAGAAGCCATCTTTTCCAAAGCTCACTCAGAGCTCACCCAGTACATCTTGGTAAGACAGAAGCTTTGTGCAATGCCAGTACCGTAGCCACTCCTTTCTTTAACTTAAAAACCAACTAATACCTTAGTTGAAAAGTTGTTTCTTGGTTTTTTTTCTGCAGCCTTGGAAGTGTTAGAACAAAAAGAACCAAAATATTTTTGATAGCTGTTACTACACAGTTGGAAATAAAAAATGATGACAATGTATTTTCCAAGACAAACGAGGCTGCATTAGGAAGGTAAGAAAACACAGAAATACATACAAATCAAGCTGTTTGGCAACACATTATCACTGGCAGATGGCAACACCAGTGCTAGCTTGGGGAGGCACGCTTTACCTACGGATTAATGAAGCAAGCAAATGAATAATTGCTTTCAGATAATTTGCACTGTATGTCAGAAATGTCCTTGTGGTCTTGAAGGCTGTGAAAGATTTTAAATCCTTTTCTCATCATCTGAGAAAAGTTTTAGAATTACAAGAGACATTTCATTTTGTCAACTTCAGCAACAACGAAGCACGGAGGCAAGCCTCTGCAAAGCAGTCACCTCCAAACCCTGACAGCACAGATGTGATATTTAAAATCATCTTTCTGCATTAGGCTAAGACTGCCCAGTTATGAGGTTTCAGGATGACAAAGACAGGAGGATGGAGACATTTCAGTGACTAAAATTCAGATTTTTTTCATAGCATGCTAAAGAGTTTTTTATGATACAATGCTATTTGAACGACTGTAATTTATATCCATTGGACTGTGACACTGCATTCATTGAAGGTTATGATATAATAAAGAATTGATTACAAAATCTTTGATCATAAGTGTCGTCTTCTCTAAAAACAGAGGACAAAAGCTGGGAAGGGACCTTGTTTGTTTTCCCCTATTAAGACCGGTAAGTAGGACGGAAGCTTTTTCCGTGTATGAAGTGTGTACTTGAGAGAGAAATACATGGTACAGAGGGAAACAACATTTCCTGGAACGCCACTTAAGGCAAGCCTTGTCCTCTTCACATAACAAAGCCATCTCCCAGCGGGGCAGGGGAGGAAAAGTGACTGCCAAGCAAGAAACCCATCCCAAATCCCTGACAATGCACCAGACAGGGCAGGTGGCTTTGCTTGGAGGTCCCCCCACCCTTACACGTGCCACTGCGACACCTGACAGAGAAGAGGAGGTTCCTTTCACCAGCAGCTCTCCCCTCCCAGGCCAGCCCGGACCCTTCCCCACAGCCCACCCTCCCGGCAGACCCCAAAACCTTCCACCCGGGTCTCCCTTTACCTTTGGGCTGCACAGCCCAGATGAACCAGGCAGCTCCTCTCCCTTCTCTCCAATTCATCAGCCACTGCCGGGTGAGCTCTCCCACTCCACCTCTCCTTGCTGCTAGGTGCCTGTGTCGACTTCTTTTCCTCCAGTTCTCTGCTGTGGGGTTTCAGCTCGTACAGGAGCTGACTGCGGACTCCACTGTTCTTGACTAGACCCAATGTTGCTGCTTAGAACCCCCCCCCCAAGTCTGTCATAAGACATTACTTGTGGTTTATCATTAGTACCTTACAAATGGTTTATTGTAAATAACATAAATCAAATAAAAATGAGGATATACTGTATCAAAAATAGAAAAAAATATTTCTATGTTTCAAATGCATAAATAAGCTTAGAAATCCAGCTTCTTTTTTTGAAGTGTTGTGTCCGTTCTGTTGAGTGAGACTCTTTGCAGACTCAGAACAGACAAAAGTCAGAAGATGTTGTGACAGTAAATACATAAAAGATGACCATTTAGGGTCCAAGACTTCCCCAAGAGTCCCAGACAATTTGCAAGCTAAGATCAGTCCTGTTTGGAAATGAGACCGATCAGAGACATGGGTTTAGATCAGGTTATAAGAAGTGCTGAAGAGATCCAGTGGTCACTATAATACTGTTGTCGTCAAAACAGCTCTGTCGAGGACATACTCAAGCTACACTGACAAGGTAAAACGGCGCTCAGAAAACGGAGCAGATAGTATCTTTAACACAGAGCCAGCATGCAAGTGAACATATGCAACCAAATGTTCAAATCTAAAGGGCTTTCGCATGACATCTGGTGTCAGAGGGCACTTTTGGGAGCCATCACAAAGAGACTAGAAAAACACCTCCACTGTTTTGCAGCCATTTAAGAAAAACAGATTTAAGAGTTTTACCAGAGACTACAAATTGAGTCAGGGACAGAACAAAGGAATCATATTTCCACAATGCTCCCTGCCTTAAGAATCAGCAGGGCAAGTCGTATGCTGGAACAATGAAGACAGAAGTCACTGGGGTCTAAACATTCAGTGCTTTAAACAGGGGAAAAGACAGAGGTTGCAGGCAGGTTATTCCACTGAATGCTGGAACTTGAAAGGTGAAGCATTTTACAGCCCAAGGTCAGGGAAAAGGTCTTGGCAAGTGTCACTGGGGAAAGCACTTGCCTTCAGAAGCACCAATATGAAGAAATGATGGGGACCTAAAATCTATTAGAAAAATGGAAAGAGAAGAAAAGGCACAGGAGGAAAATCAGGGGGGAAAAAAAGAGGCTTCAGACCGTTCTGCGTGCTGAAGGCAGAACAGTGACTGGAAGAGTTTGTGCAATTCATGAGAGCCATTCTCCAGCATGTCATCTGGAGAGCAGGCCACAAGGAGGAGCAGTGCACCCACCGATCGCAGCACCACTGCCAGCACCAGTCTGGAACAGGGATTCCAGCTTATCAGGAAGGCCTTCATGTACAAAATTTTCAGCATGGAGGAGTTGGTTCCATTCAGTACCGTTTCCTCTGTTTTTTGTTCCCCTTTCTTTTCTGTTCCTTCTCCTTCCGGGCTCCAGCCGTGGTAAATGTTATACAATGAGCGTCTAAAAAGTCCAGCAGCTTTGCCTTGGAAATTTTAATGCCATTCTGTTTCAGCTCTGCATGCAACGCAGCCAGCTCAATTGGCTCATAAAAGAGAATCTTGTTGTACAGGGCTGTGTTTGAACGGATGTAGCACCTTACTGCCTCCAGCTTATCTTCTTCCCGAGCTGCTGCCTGAGATGCTGGAAGCTCCTCTTCCTCTTCCTCGGATGCAAAATCACAGGCTTCAAATCCATTCACGAAAGAACTAAAAGCAAGATCAAGTCAGCCAGAGATCAAGGAAAGAACAGGCCTTCAAGGACAGGACCAGAACTCCCCAAGTCCCTGATGCCAACCCTCGTGACTACTCGTGACGTAGGATCCCAGACTCTCCAATTCCGGCACCCATAAAATGAGGGAAGCAGATCATGACACGTGTTTTGCAGACTTCCCCATCCTAGACCCCACAGCTCTGGTCCTGCTCACCCAGCCCCGGAGCTGTCTGGCATTCCTTGTTCCTGACCCACAGCATCTACTGCTGCCAAGTCGTGCTGTGCCATCCTCTCCCTACTCTGGCTGCAGGCTCTCAGTCAATGCTGTGAGCGCTCCTTGTCACTCCAACTTCCAGAGACCAGGCATGCTTCTGTATTTGGGGCTTGCCCTCACGCAGCCACAAGCACTTTTGTGTTCTGAGAATAGCTCACTGGGAATTAAGACTAAAAAAACCCCAAAGTCTATTTCTTTTGTAGGACGCTGTTGACCTTCAAATGCGAAGCCCAAGGAGGTGTCAGGGCCACTGTAGGCCATGTGGACACTCACCTCTCTGATTGCCATGCTCCTAGCTCATCTACGTCCTGCACCATTGACTGTTGAGTATTTTGTTCCCTTACCTCTGTGAACCAAAAGAGATGTCGCTTCCATCCACTGAAGAAACTGCAGACTCCTGAGATGCTGAGAGGATCGGTTCCTCACCATCAGCTGCCAGAGACCATCTCTCTGGAGATACAGATGATCTTTTCTGCTCTTTGGCTCCTTCTGGGTGATGTGTCACTTTAGTTCCCTCCTTGGGTGCTGCACAGCCTGTTTCTCGGGGTCCAACAAGGTCATCATCAGCCCTCCCCACAGGGAGCACTGAAGAAGCCGTAGCAACCTGCTTCCTTTTGCCCACAGCCCTCGAGGCATTGGCACGCTTTCCACCTGCAGTCTGTTTTGCCTTTGACTGCCTAGAACGTTTGGCCGGGGACTTCCGCAGGGGAGGCTGGGAAGATGGGATTTCATCCTCAAAGTCAGAGTCCACGTCCTGGTGAGTATACTGGAATATCTCCTTCAGCTTCAACACCATCTGGCGTTTTGGGAGAGCACGAACTCCAAATCTGAAAGGGAAAGGTGGGAGTTTAGGTTAAGATAATGCTGCACCTTCCACTGTCACAGCTCAGGAAGGGGCTCGGGCCATGAAGTTCAGCGGTCAGCTGGAAGAGTGTGACAAAAAACCACTGACTGGAGTTTCACCATGGTTTCACTTTCAGCCCAGGAGTTTTCTTTCACACTACCTGCCAGCAAGTTTCTGCTCATAAAGAGATGTGCTCGTGGAGGGAATGCTAACCTGCTCAACTCCTTCTTCAGCTGTGGGGTCTCCATGATGGAGTAAGCTGGCATTGGTGTCATCGGAGTGCTGGGAGGCTTGTCGTTCTCCTGACAGGAAGGTTCTGCAGCAGAATGAAATTACTATGATCAGAATTAGTACAGAAAGGACTTAAAATACCTGATATCTTCCCCTCTTAGCAGCAGATACTCTAATATTATATAACGATTAAGTAGCACTAGTTTTCTGCAAGATCTTTTACTTATTACTCAGTTTCATATTTGACAAAACAGTCAATGCTTTTTTTTTTTTCTCTGATCTGGGATACTTGGGTTTTATTGACTTTAAATTAGAAAACAACTTAAATTAAGCCATCTGGGATACTTGGGTTTTATTGACTTTAAATCAGAAAACAGCTTAAATTAAGCCGTGTGTCACATCTGAATACGAAGCTCATTCAGGGCTTTGTTAGAACAGGCAACGTTTACAAGGCAGTTAAAAAAAAATGTTTACTGAATTCTGTGAAATGGTTCTTCTTCCAGGAAGGAAATTTCATAATAGAGACTTGGTGGAGAAGAAACTGAGCAAGTCAAGCTTCTGGGGTCCTGAGTTACATACTGATGTAATGGTACCAGTTTACTGATACTGTGAAGCACAGTCTCACACGCCATGTTCTAAACTCCTGTTAGACGAATCACTTAGTGTGGCATAATTAATAATATATTTAATTAGATACTATGAGATCAATTACTGGTCTCAGATGGAAGGAACCATGCAAGGATACGTGCCGGGCACGCAGAGGTCTGTTGCAAGGGCCCAGAACCAGCAAACAAACAGCAGCGCAAGATAGCAGTGCATCAGCAAAGTTTTGCAGGAAAGCCTGAGTGATGCCACGCACAGGCAGGGACAGGTGCCCACCCCCAGTGAGCCTCAACACAAGGAAACCCTCTGTGCCTGCGCCACTGCGTTGCTTACCTGAGGTCCTTGTGTATGTTAGCACAAGCATTGCTTCATGAATGCGTGAAAAGCAAAAGACTGTACAGAGCACCCACTAGTACTGGGGAAAAATATCCACTTCATGCAAGCGCAAGGCTGTTTTTTTGGTTTTTTGTTCTGTTTTGGTTAGTTTTTTTCCCCTCCATGTACCGGTAGCTTCTGCAAAGAGTACCACAACTATGAAAGAACCAGTGTGAATGAAAAACAAGCAGCTATGCTCCAGGAATCTCACATTTAGATGCGCTCTCTCCGACATCAGAAGATGACTGTACCTTCTTTGTGCCTGGCCCTGACTACTTCAGAAGGCCAAAAGACCCTTTCAAAGTATCAAGTGAACAACAGGTGAGATGACCACTTAAAATGAAAGCAATTTAACCTCGTTCAATGAATCCGTATCAATGCAAGAGCTCACCAGGAGTCTTTACAGGATGTGTCTGATGGGCACCTGCTGCAGCTGATAACCTCTGAGACAGAGGAAGCATCTCTGGAAATTCATCTTCCTCCTCCTCTCCATTCCAATCATCCCAGATTTTGGAGTTCAGGTAACTTGGTCTATTGCCCACTGACGAACATGCCTCAATAGGACTCTTTTCAAGACACAGCAAAGTTGTTCTTCTGCTGACAGGACTTCCTGGAAGAGGGGTACTGCCCTTAATCTCCTCTGCGTGGACTGGGCTCTCCCACTGCTCATGCCAAGAGCCTGGTTTGGGGCTGCTGGTAGTGCTGGTCTTTGCACGGCTGACCTGGTTGGAGTCCTGGCTGTGACCTCTGACTGGTGACAGATACTCAACATGCCAGCAGTCATCAAAGGGGATTGGGGGCTCATCACAAAGCAAGACACTACTGCTCACAGAATGCAGACTTACTTCCTTTTCGCTGTCCTCTACTTCAACCACGCTGATATTTGTTTTATCTTCCAATGACTGCTCATGGCACAGAGGCACAGGTTTGGATAAAAATGAGATCTTGGCACATTTGCTTTTTACGTTGGTGTGCCCAGGGGAGAGGAGAACTGGATCCACTGGAGAAACTGGTGGGGAGTTCTTGGAAAATGATCCTGCTGCTGGGCTGCTGGGAGGGCTCCTTTCACTGACTGAGTTCTCCATAGGCAAATGTTTGCTTGATAACGTTGTTTCACAAACTTTTATTAAATTTCCAGCCATTTCATGGTTACTCTTCCCTGCTGCTAATTTCTTTGTGCTGAGTTTAGATCCTAGACTCTTCAAAGAATTAATACTTGTGACGTGAGTCTGTGTTGTGAAACTTCTGCTTTTGCTCAGAACCGGTGTGTCTGGCACTAGCCAGGAGCTGTCTGTACCCGAAGACACTTCAGGACTGAACTTTTTTTCAGGGCTCGGGTTTGGACTGTGTTTGCTCTCCATACAAGCATCTATCTGTCTGCTGAGAGGCAATTCGGTGGACAGCTTTACACCCTTATTTATATACACTGTCTCTGTAATGCCACCTGAGACCTGGGTAGATCTCTGCTCTGTTTCAGTGACTGATGAGTTAGGTTCAGGTTTTGGTATCTCAGGACCTTGTTCTACGTTTGTACATTCCAGTTGCCCAAGGATTTCCCTTTCTTTCAGAGCAGAGCCTGACTCTGGCAACTTCTTGTCTTCTTGTAACTCCATTTCATCATCAGAAGATAAAACAATAACATCACCCTCCTCCTTCCCCTGAGCTGCATCATCCTGAGTTCTGATGACTGGTGATGACAACCCTGGGACATACGTGCGCTTGTTTAAATCAATGTCAGGAAGCTCGGCTGGAGAAACTGTGTTCTCATTTCTTGACGCAGTATCCAGCTCGTTGGCTTTCTGACAGGATATTTCGTCAGTTGGGAATGATTTTTCCTTTTTGTTTTGCTCTGGTGTTGACACATGTTCTCTGGCAAACTTTCTCTCTGATTTTGGAGATGCAGGTGAAGAGCCAACAGCAGGAAAAAGGGGCACATAAGGTTTGGGAGGAGGACTCCCATAAAAACTATTCCTATGTGGAGAGAGGTCTTTTTGTGATTTGCTGTACGGAAATGAATCATTAACATCAACATGTTTTTCGCTAGGAGCCTTTCCTGATTCTTTGGTAACTTCTTTCGTTGGGGAAGGCTCACAGTAATCTCCCTGAGTTGCAGAAAACAAGCGTTCATAACTTTCGTTTATATCAGTATCACCGTGGAAGCTAGGAAACTGTTTTTCACAGTGATCTGCCCCATCATGTGAGACCTGAGATGACTCGGAATCCTTCACACCTTCACATCTCCTAACGGTCTCTTCTTCATTAGTGGTGGCACCATGGGATGCTACGTCCCATTTTTGAGGTTCACTGTGGTGAGGCACAAAAGTAGTCTGTGGATTGCTCACACTCTCACACCTATTTATATTCTGCATTTTGTCTTCTTGTGCAGACAAGTCACATTTAGATCTTTCCACATCATTGTCATCCCTCAGATCTTTGAAGCTGTTGCTTATTGAAGCAGATCCAGATGTCTTTACCTCTTCCTCCTCAGTTTGCAGGTTTGTACCTTGGGCTGCCTCAGTATCACTGCAGATGCTGCAGTCTGTTTCCTCGCTCACCTCTGTTTCACCTTGAACCATCCTTCTCTGAGTTGCAGCAAACTCATAGATTTCCTCCAGCTCCTGTTCACCCACCCCATTGTCATCTTCCTTCTGGCATTCAGGGCTCAGCATGGGTTCTTCTTCCTCATCTTCACCCACCCACATTGACTTCAAGAGGTCTTGGAAGTTCTCAGCTCTGTCCTCACCATCTTTGTCATCCCTCACAGAGATAAGATCATCTTCTGAATCCACTCCAGAAGACACCTGACTCTCTCCAGTGTTGTTTTCACACTTTGCCACCAGTTCCCTCACACCAAACCTGCAAGGATACAATGGTAATGTTAGTATTTTCCTCCTCCAGTATTTCTTCAGCATTTGGCTGCCTGATCACTCTTGTGAGCCTTGTAAAGAATTTGCATGAGGATGCCGGTTTCCTAAGATGCACAAGATCTCATATACTCCTAAAATTCGGAATTCCCTTTTCCAGGTGTCACTCACATGAAAGCATCAGGCTCACTCTTCCTTTTTTTATGTTTGAGACTAAACAGCTATATGACTACACTAAAACCCCTTTGCCATTTGCAATGGTAAGAGCCCCATGGATGGCTGGGGCTGGATAATGTCCATCATAAGCAAGCTTCGTGGCTTTTTGGAGTGACAGGACACGTCTGTACATACATTTTGGCAAGACTCAATCATTTTCCCCCGTATCTCAGCAACTGCTTCTATTTCAAGCTCTTTACTTAGCGTGCACCTAGGATCGTGACCAAGAGCGTGGCTGACACAACACATTAGAGTTCTAAGCATCCAATACAGTCTGCAAGTGCTGTTCAGATGAAGTGCATCGCTACTGCAATGCTTTGAGACTACACTCATCATTGTCAACTTCAGCTGTGAATAAACATCCTGAGACAAAACTCTTGACAAAAGTCTGCTAAGCATAAACTGAACATAGAAAATCTCACACAGATACAACCTGAAGAGAGACTCATGGAAAAGTTGAGGGTAGGATGTTCTAATGTGGAAGTTTCATTTAAGATGTAAGCAGAGGCCTATGGAATTTGTAAGCCACTAAAACTGCAATGGAAGATATCAGGTTGGGGTCTGTGTGGCTGAAAGCATGAGGGGATCAAAAACATGCTCACAGTACAAACCTGGCAGCCAGAGCCCCCACCTGGGGCAGCACCCCAGCAGGGATGTCAGCATCAGCAGCATAAAGGTATCGCAGGAACGCACACACCGCCTCTCCTGTCACGTCACTCAGCAGCACACGGCACGTCTGCGCGTTCCCATCCTCCTCCACCAAAAACCCTTGGCTGTGAACCTGGGGTAACAAGAAAGCAAACAAAGTCCGTTTGCTAGTAAAGGAACAGCAACACCAACATTCTTGTTCCTATCAGCTTATTCCTTTCATTCCAGTCTTACCCTGGCACCAGGACCTGATGCCTCAGAGGGAAGCTAAGATGACCAGTTATGCAGAGCTTCATATGGAATAGGCCACTTCCTTCCTGACCCTACAGCTGTTAGCTTTGATAAAGTTTAACTACTTGTTTTACTCACACATATAAAAGATGGTCTTCAAGTTATGCAGTTAGTATTGCAATCAAATTACTTCCCAGAGCACAACTTGCAGAGCTATCTACACCTCTCTACAAGCAAGCTTCCTCTGATCTGTTTTGAATTTACCTACTGTGTTGGGTTTGC